ATAAAAACAACTTGGCGCACCAATCGTAGTCACATGATGCATCTGATACCGTGATGCATAAGGACTCAAGATTGCTAGGCAATAACATCATGTACTACTTCGCTTTAGTTTCTTAAGAGACCTTGATGAATATTTAAAGCCCCGTCTGACAATATACAATGATATGTTGAAACACCACCGGCTCTTGACGTGTCTCTGCGTTCGAACTGGTTACCGTGCGACAGATGTTCTTCCAAGATGAATACTCACCCTGCGCTTTTTTCTTCGTTGCTCGCTCTTCTGATACTACGTTGTAATGCTGTAATTTCAGATCATCAGAGTCTCAACATCACTTTCAATAATCCTGTCTTTCCAGGATGGCACGCTGATCCTAGCTGTGTCTTCATCCCTGAGCGAGACGACACCACCTTTTGCGTCACCTCGTCCTTCTTGAACTTCCCAGGTCTTCCTGTCTACGCTAGCAAAGATCTGCTCCACTGGGAGCATGCCAGTAACGCCTTCAACCGGGCAGAGCAAATCCCAGGCCACGCTTCCATGAATGGCAATCCGCGCGGCGGCATCTGGGCTCCGACCATTCGATACCAGGGTGGCAAATTTTACATCGTTGTCACTTACGCGACTTACGAGCCCAGAAAAAAGGTCAACAACCTCCTTTTCCACACCGAAGACCCTTACAGCGATGCCTCTTGGACTATTCCCCTACCCATCACCAATCCAGGGGGAAGCAACCACATTGACCCGGATCTTTTCTGGGAGAATGGCACTGCCTATATGGCCACTGGCTGGGGCAGAATCTTTCTCTCGGTCATAGATGTCAATACCGGCAACGCGAGCGACAAGGTAGAAATATGGAAGGGCACTGGTGGCAACAATCCCGAGGCACCACATATCTACAAGAAAGACGGCTTCTTCTACATTCTTATCGCAGAAGGCGGTGCTGGTATCGGCCACAGCGCTACCATGGCACGATCTCAAGACCTCTATGGGCCGTATGAGAGCTATTCTGGGAATCCCGTTCTCACCAATAGAGGATCGGGCGAGCTCTTTCAGTCAGTCGGACATGCAGACCTGTTTCGAGATGTTAACGACAACTGGTGGGCTGTTGCGCTGGCGACACGCTCAGGTACAGAACTCGAGAACTATCCTATGGGTCGAGAAACCGTGCTTACGGCCGTGACTTGGGAGAATGACTCTTGGCCAGTATTCGATCCTGTGCGCGGCACCATGCATGGTCCTCTGCCAAGAACTACGGCAGCACCTCACAAGAGACTTCTGATTGATACCGGAGACGAGGTCAACTTCAACCCAGGGACTTCTTTACCGCATCATTTCGTTCATTTTAGGTCTAAGGTCGAGGAAAAGTACATCATTATCAATAGCTCACTACGACTATTGCCATCTCGAAGCAATCTGACGGGGAGCACAAATCACTTCGATCCTGAAGATAGCGTAACGTTTGTCGGCCGAAAACAGACAGCCACCAAGTTCAGCTTTTCGGTCGATCTGTCATTCGTGCCCAAGAACTTTGGAGATGAGGCGGGAATCTCGATTTTCCACAGTCAACAACAGCACATTGACTTGAGTGTCGTGCTGCTTGAAGATTCCGATAACCCACAGCTCCGGATGGCGGCAACTACATATGGCCGGCCAAGCGCTCCAGTCCCTGAGACAGTACTGCAATCAGTGCCCAGGGCTTGGGTAACTTGTCCTATCAGACTATCAGTTGAGGCACTTGACACAAATGATTACAAGTTCGCGGCGTCTTCAACTTGCAACCGAGCAAATGCGAGCATAGACATGGGCATAGTTAGTTCGGACGTGACCAGTGGGGGATTTCTCGGTGCGTATTCGTATTTGCTTTAAAATCCGTGGTCTAATCTGGGCGATTCCTTTGCTGATAGCAACAAAAATGTGACAGGCAGCTTGATCGGAGTTTTCGCCACGAATAACAATGCTACTGGAAATGCGGCTTCTTACTGGAGTCGATGGAGATACACACTAGTCGCGCAAGAGGTAGACGTGGACGAATATGTACCAGTCTAGAGATTCCAGTGTGCTTACCGTCGTAGCAAGTTAATTCCAGGTCATATGCTCTCATTCTTCTAATCTCAAGTGGCTAGATAGAAACTTGGAGACCTCGTCATTCTCCATGGCTTTAGCACAGTCTAACACCGATTCCCCACTAGAGTTTCGTGACTCAAGACACTCTCTCTTTGAATGCACTGCTCGGATATGCGAGAAGCATAACTTTACCTGCTCGAGAGTTCCATTTCTAGCAACGGCGTGAAGCGGTGTTTCTCCATCATCATCGGCTAAATCGGGTAGCGCCCCATGTTGTAGAAGGACTCGGAGAGCATCCGTTGACGCATGATGCTTGCGGCGATACATTCCCTCCCTTTGATTGAAGAGATAGTAAAGAGCTTTTCTACCTTGAGGCCCTGAGCGGTTCGGGTTTGCGCCTTTCTCCAGGAGTCCAATCATAGCACCGATGCAGTCCTTGTACGAGGCGGCGATGTTGATGAGGGGCTCATTGGAAAGGTAATCTTCCGCATTCGGATTTCCACCGGCATCGACGAGTCGACAAACCAGTCGTTGCTGACAAAGATGCTCCTCGACGGTCGGGGGTCGCTTTGTTGGGTTCTCGGCCAGTATCATTCTTCTTGAAACCGACTGGCAAAGCGCATCTTGGACCGCCCTAGGCTCGAACGAAACCTTCGCCAGTAACAACGCCGCGGTATCATCGCACCAAGCCGATGCTGCATCGAGTAGCGCCCGGTCCGTCTCATCCTGCCAACCATCCCAGACCTCAAGAAAGTAAGCCATCACATCTGTTTGGCCGTTTCGAGCTGCTACGCGCAGACAAGTGAGCTGACCAGGCCTGAAATTTCTAGTCGGCAAGAATCGCCCCTCGGGACCAATTTGCTCCCAAAAGAAGCGGGCCATCGCAAGTGTGCCGTACTGTGCTGCGGCAAATAGTGGTGTGAATCCAGGGTCTTGAGTCTGCCTCACCGTCACGCTGACGCCTGAATCGATCATCATCCGGACTGCTACATCATCTCTTTTCAAGATTGCATAATGCAAAGCCCAGCCTATGACATGATCTGGATCGACCTCAGGACTCCAGTTCTGTAGGATGTTTGCCAAGTACTCCCTGTCTCCTGGTTTGTTTCCATGACTGAGATAGGGCTCCACAACATTATAATAATTGATTTGTCGAGAGCTCAGTGGGGTCTCCATGGCGATTGTTTGATTTTGGTCAAGTTCGAATCGGTCGGTGGAGGATGCAGAAAGGTACAAAAAACGGTGGCAGAAGCAGGATAAATAAGGCGACACCCCTGTCAGTCTTGTTAATAAGCTTGCCACCATGATTGAGGCCAAAATCGGGGCCAAATTCCAGCCTGTGAATAGGAATCAGTTATTTCCTTCACATACAAATCCCGCTACATGCATCATTTTACCGTCAAAATCGTAAATTGCCATATTTTAAGGGCGATCCCATGCTGCGTCATCACACTCTTGCGGCTTAAATTGTTAAGTCTGTCGGAATATATCGAAGACTTCAGAACTGGGCATTGGACTTGTATTTCAGTGAAGATGGTCCTGCAAGCTCTGCTATAATAACTCATCTGTTTCCCATCCTGACAAGGAGATCATCATGGTACTTGAGAGAGCTTTTACAACCGAGCTCGAGCGACCAATGCTGAATTGGTGTGTCTTAGTATTTGCGGCGGGTTTGAGCCACCATCTGACGACTATTGGAGGGCCAGTGTGGATTTCTCAGGTCGAAACTTTGTTGACTGGTATCGAGAAGGTTCAATTCCAGTTATGGGATTGCGCGGCGCAGAATGAAGATGCCAACTATGGAGTCCTTCATTACATAGAAAGAATGTTCCTCTGTAGAAGTTGGCCATATTTCGCGATGTCAGGAAGTTATATAGATGCCGTCTTTATTACTCGGAGACGAAATCAGTTCATGTGAGCTAGCCTGTTCAGAGTTGTGGTACAAGATTTGTCATGGATAGGTTCTTGTCATGATTGATCAAAAATCCACCCTAAGTGTCAGGATTTCAGTCAGCTTCTTACCAAAAATGCGAGTGCAATCTTCTGTGTGCAAACTACTATTTTCGGGTTGGAATGAGTCGTAAAGAGGCCTAGCATTGCTGAGCACTGCTGACGTAGATGTTGCACAAGATGGAAGTCGTGAGCAAAAGCCGCTCTCGCTTCACCGGCTTCATCTGGTTTCGGACTCTCTAGTTGCACAAACTGCAGTTGTTCACCTGACGAGCCAGAAGCTTTTCCCGCGGGAAAGGCAAACAGAGGCAGAGCAGACTCATCTGATACTCGTTTGCTCCTTCGTTTTCACTCCTTGTTTGAGATGAGATGAAAAGGACAGTGAATCACAATATGGTAGGGATTTCAACGTATTCAATTGTCGTGATGCGGCTTCCGCCTTTAAAGCCCTCAACTTGACATTTATTAACCACCTTGACCTCTACCAAAATTCACATCCTGACTAGCTCATCGACAACTACTACCGCACAACAACTAAGATTTTCAGCACCAGCATCGAAGCACCACAGCAAGAACGCAAAATGCATTCTCATCGCCGCAATCGTCATCCTCAACTATCTTCTCCGACCTCAAATCCTTTCTTGACCTCAGCTCGTCGCTCGCCCTCTCCGTCTACCTTGTCTCCCCCTCTCAGATCCCCTCTGAGACCTCCTCGCCAGCTCAGCCCTCTCTTTTCAGAAGACACGCCAGAACTTGCCTTCTCTTACTCGCCGACACGCGAATCTCTGTTTCTCGTCGGTCACCCCCCTTCTGAGTCGTGCTTTCCATCCCCGCAACATCATAATGGCTTTCGCGGTCTCTCCTCCCCGGACAGCGGCTCAACGACCCCAGTCTCTGACAGACCGGGGGAAGGATCTCACAGCCCAGACGTACGACCAAGCACTGAAGACCGTCATACGCTTTCGTCTACTCCGCAAGAAATTTTCGAGATGGAAGGCAACTGGGTTCACATTCCTACTCCTCCCTCGACGACCCCGAGACAGCGCCGTCGCGACATCCAATCCCCCGAGACTCAAAGAACGCCTTGTCCTAACGGCCAGCATCGCTACGTGCCGCAGCTCGTGGGAATCTTCGACATCGACATCCCTGATCAACTCGTCTCCGATTTGACAATCGCTGACATACAACAGCATATCTCACACCTGATCGCGGGAGAGCCGAGACTTCGCGCGTCCGCGCCATCTCCACCTGCCTCCGCTCCGCGTCCCTACCGCCGGCCGGGCAGTGCTAGTCTCCGCAGACAATGCACGGACCCACCTGAGGGACAGGGCGTCGAGATGCCTCGTCTTTCACGAATGCCTCCAAACGAAACCTCCTTGAGGTGCAGGTGTGAGGAGTGCATGTGTCCGAGATGCCGACTTTTACGGGGACATGCTGACGGAGGAACAGAGGAGATTCTGCGGGTACTGTAGAGCGTATCACGGTGGTCAAGTTTATCCTTTCTACTAACGATCAACTTGGAATTGCCTCCAAGTACATCAAAGGATTTAGGTCATGTTTCCTTTCAGTGTCTTTCATAGAGCCGTGCTCGAAGTAGTTTAGAATTGCAGTTTGTTCTTGCACCTAGTGATCGTCATATCATGGTGATGCATCTGCGTGAAATACTTGCGGTTCTATACATGTTTATCTTACATGGAGCCTATCTGTAGCTCTTTGTTATCTATACATATTATTATCTTCCACTTTTTCTCTTGCCCTGCGCCCTAAAACTTTCTCGTCGACTCGTTCCTGGCATCATACCATGTCCTCTGTCCCCACCGCCGTTGACGTCAACCGTGAAATACGCGTCCCCCCTCTCAAGACTATCCTCCGATCTATTATCCAGTTCTCTTCTGCTATCCCGCTTGGACTCTTCAATCGTAATCTCCACGTTCTTGCTGATCCCTCCTGACGTTGGCATTGGTGGTATAGTCCGTGGCTGGTTCAAATGCTCCTCACTCCCTGTTCCGGTGATCTCGGTGATTGGATACTGGCTGAATGGCTGTCGTCCCTTTTTGCGGTTCTTGCTATCCGGCACGTCGTCGAGCTTGATGCTTCCGGGTTGAGGCAAATTGGGTCCTTTCGAGCCGTACTTATTGTTCGTGTTGCTGAGAGGTAGGGTGCTGACGACGGTGCCAAAAATGGGGCTAAACCACCTGCGAATGAGGGGAAAGATCATTGGAACGTTGGTGGTGACAACCGCAACGAAAGTCTCGCGAACGGCCCACGATCCTGCTTGTGATGCGCCATTGACGGGGTCCTGAGAAAGTATTAGGTTGATTCGGCCATGGAGAGCGCGACTGTAGCCTACCGATATAATGAGGACGCAGCGCAAGATTCCTGCCATAGTCACGAATATTCCTCCGGAAAACAGCACAATCAGACCCAGCTTCTTCCTCAGGGGTAACTTTGAGAACCATAGCATCGGGATCGGTATGCTCATAAGATAGAGATCGGTCAAGACGTTCAGGACGACAGTGACAAGAATGTTGACCTTCGAAGTCGCAGGTTGGCATGTGTCTGACGGCAAGTAAGCAAGTGTGTCTCTCGAAGTTCCTTGCGTACTCACTTCCTGGGTCGGGGTAGATTTGCCAGTTCTTGTGCGTCGGAAAGCAGCTGAAAATGATGGAGAAAAACACCGTGAGCCACGTAATCACAATCAGTGCGAAACCTCCGTAAATTCGCTTTTGAAAGTTGTGAAGTCCTTCCTGCACCTCGCTGTCAGCGTCTTGGCCGACAATCGTATGTCTCGAGAGTCGAACGTACCGTGAGACGAAGGAAAAAGGTGCACATGGCGGCTTTCGCGGGCCAAAGCACCAGACAGCTATACGTGATCCATCCTGCAATTTGTGTTTTTGACCCGTTGACTCTTCACGGCAGTGTCAGCTGGAGATGCGATCGTGAAGAAAGCCTACTATCCGTACCTGATCCTGTACTCTTCGCTATTGGGGTCTAGATTTCTCCTCTGTTCGTCCGTCATGCCATTGTTGGCGAGTCCTTGCCAGTATGCTCCGACGCTATATGCGAGAGCAGTCTCGGCCGAATATGTGCACTATTTACAGACCATGAATGTCAGTTGGACTAGCGTGCATGTTGGAAGGAAACTCACTGCGACAAGAAGCATCAGATAATCATCCACCTGCAGATGCCTTACGCCGACGGCGCTAATTCGCGCATACGTCCGCAAAGCGATGACTCCAAGCCCCACGCCCAGAAGCGCAAACGCCTCTGTAGCAAAGTCGTCGGACATGCTGTGTTCATGACACCAGAGACCTTGAGCGCGCGAGATTTGGGGTGAGAAGGACCCCAATTTAGTCACATGGCAGCCCGAGCATGCCGGGTGTATATACCATTGAGCAAGCCCCTCGGAAGCCTGATAACAAAAGCGCGCACTGGCGCAGCCGTGCAGATCGATGTCACTTTGGGGTGTCAATGTGTGTCAGGGCGAGCGATCAGGGGTGCAGATACGTGAACTCCAGAAATACCACATCCGGGCCCCCGTGTTAATGTGCGGGACACTATGAACCAATGGCAGGGTGGACGGCAAGTGGGAATAGATAGGAAACGGGGTCCAATTTACTTCTTGTTCCTGGGCCATGGTTACATGGCTTGAAAATTGCTTTATAACCGGCAGAAGAATCCTCTTTTGCTCGTCGCTCGACGTTGGGGCTGACTGAAGTTCCCCAAAAGGTCGAGAAAGGCCTTGGTCACCCGCTTCTGACACTTGCATATCCCCATCACCGATTGCGGGGCATCTCTTGCCTTGGCTGATGGCGTCAATGTCAACAGTGTGTTGTGCTTTTCAGGCCACCGTAGAATTCGGCAATGGCTAGCTAGCCTCATGTACCGACATATCCAGCCGCCGACCAAGTCGCAAATTCTACGACATGCTGTGCCATAGTTATGCCAACAGGGTCGAAAGATGTGGCATGTGGGGATTCCTGGTACGGACGCTGACCTTGATATGCGCACATGCACAGGGCGCACAGGGCGATGGGAGTCAAACATTCTTGGCTTTTGTCAACTCGTCGGCTCGAGTACATGCAGGAGTGCATAGACGGACATCCCATGTTCTAGAGTGAGCTAGCGGCTCGATGTAAACTGGGGGGGAGACTGAAGGCCTCCTATTCGGGAAGACCCGCACGCTGTCAGGAACAGGAAGACAATCCGCCATTGTGACATCCTAATAATAAGTCTCGGCCGAAGCGTCCATGCCAAGGGGAGCGAAAATTTTCATCGGACCTAGAGCCCGAAGGGCCACCTGCTAACTCACCTAAACATGATCGTTGTGTATACAAAGGGGTAATTGTGCCGCTACTGGCTCTCCTCAGGCTTCAAAAAGAAACCAATGTGTCGACTTGACATGTGGCTGTGAGCAAAAGCCGCGAGCCGCGCTCAAAAGCAAAGAAATCCGAAGACAAGGCGGATGAAATGAGGGGTTGCGTCAAGATGCTCTGAGATGGGCATGATTCTGTGTATGCCAGTGTGGCTTGAAAACAACCTTTGCTGCAGGTCGAGGTCCCCTTCTTGAACCCAAGAGCATCTTGCATATTGATTCTTACAGCGAAGAAGGCCATTGAACCGTCTCTGGGGAACTGTCGGTTGGGATTACGTGTGAATATCCTGCTTCGGTCACCGAGGTCCCATTCGCGCAGATGTACTGTCCGTTTTCAGCCATTCCAGACGGTGCCCTGTCTTTGTGATGCCATGGAAGAGCCTATGAAAGAGCCATCGTTCAGGAGCATCGGATATGTAGTTTCTCAGTTGTCGTTATTAAAATGGGGCCGTGGAGCTCAGTTACGGAAGTTCCGTTCCGTTTCGGAACGAGCACGCTGAAGGATTTGCGGGGACAAAATCTGCGTGCCGTTAAAGAACGCTGAAGAACGCCCCGACATGCGGACTCGGTTCCCGGCTTTTCTTGTGTAACCAACCACATTGTGAAAGCATGAAGACGAATTTCTTGACTGAAAATCAGTAATTGAGCGCCCATCGCAACGACCATCACGGATTATCTGCCAGAGACAGCGAGAGCCTGACGATTCTCTCAAGATCCTTCGCTCCACAGCAGCGAGTCAATGCCCCTGTAACCCCCCGGTTACCCACGGTTCTCGATCACTCTCCCCCGGGGAACGGATCCGGACGTGATGGAAGCCCGTGCTCGTCTCCAAGCTCCACGAAACCCCTCTTGAGCAGCATTACGAGAGCAATTCACAATCAGCATCAGTCTCTGGCTGTTGGGGTCTTTCTTTGGTCGTTCTGGAGCCCAACATGGTCAGATTTCCGCATCAAGCACGAAGCCGCAAAGAATCTTAAGCCCAGGCCCGTCTAGGCCGGGAAAGTCTCCGCAGAGGCCCTGTCCTAGAGTGGACATGACTAGGGACTCGACATTGGCCCATCCGTCGACAAATCATTGTCCATTGCTCAACTTCGACCGTTGCAGTGTCGCAGCAGGCTGCACCAACACAATATGAATTGAGCTTTCAGGAAGGATGAGGTACCCTACCTAATTCTCTCATGGTTCCACAGCTTCAGGGCAGCCCTCGGTGCTCCGTCCCAATGTCTTTCTGCGCGTCTTTCTCTTCCAAGCTGAGTCCAATTGCAGCCTCAAAGGCTCTGCTCATTTTTGCTCCGTGCTCGCCTTTCGACTGAGGAGGATCTGGAACGTCGTTGCCGACGCGAAGCAGAAACACACGTCCCCTTGACTCATCAATCGCAATGGAGACTCTCGACTTCGCGGTTATTGGAGCCGGTAGGTCAATCCAATTCAGTTACCTATGCTTGCGATCTGACCTAAACAGGTTGGTACGGTCTGGCTGCGGCCAAGACTCACCATCAGCTTCACCCGCAAAACACGCTGGCCGTCTTTGACCAGTCGTCGACGGCCGGCGGCGTGTGGGCTGAGCACCGCCTCTACCCGGGTCTGAAGAGCAACAACATGCTCGGAACCTATGAGTACCCCGACTTCCCCATGGATCCGGAGACCTTCGGCGTTCTTCCGGGGCAGCACATCCCCGGAAAGGTCTTGCATGAATACCTCACCAAGTACGCCCAGACCTTCGGCATCTTTGATAAGATCCGATTTCAGCATAAGATCCTGTCAGCTGAGCACCAGGATACAGGTGGCTGGGTCTTGACAGTCCTGAATGGGGAGGAGTGCAAGGAGTTCCAGGTCTTGGCAAAGAAGCTTGTCGTCGCCACTGGCTTGACCTCTCAAGCCTTTCTGCCCGACTTCGAGGGTCAGGAAACCTTTGGCGTACCAATTTTCCACGGCAAAGACTTCCTCCAGCATGCGGATACTCTCAAGACATCCAAGCGCGTCACAGTCTTTGGTGGTACCAAGTCAGCCTGGGATGCCGTCTACGCATACGCTAGCAAGGGCATCGCCGTAAATTGGGTGATCAGAGGTAGTCTATACCCTTCTTGCTTACTTTGGATCCCGTGACTGATGACTTATAGAATCTGGACATGGCCCCGTGTGGATGGCGCCACCCTATGTGACCCCTCTCAAGAAGTGGCTTGAGAAGCTTGTCCACACCCGCGCGTTGACCTGGTTCAGTCCCTGCGCCTGGGGCGAAGCTGACGGCTATGACAAGACGCGATACTTCTATCATAGCACTGCCATTGGCCGAGGTATCGTCAACAACTTCTGGAACGTCCTCGGCAACGACGTTATCACCCTCAACAAATACGACTCTCACCCAGAGTTGAAGAAGCTGAAACCCTGGTGTGAAGCCAAGCACGTCGCTTCAAGTCTGTCAATTCTCAACTACGAGACTGACTTCTTCGATCTCATCCGCGATGGCAAGGTCCAGATTCATATTGCCGACATCATCAAGCTGTCTCCGAGAGGCGTTCACCTGTCTAACGGTTTGGAGCTGGAGTCGGACGCACTCTGCTGCGCGACCGGCTGGAAGCAGTTCCAGCCCATCAAGTTCCTCCCAGCGGGCATTGAGAAGGACCTCGGAATCCCGCACGCCCCTACTCCCGACAGCTTCCCATCAGCCGAGATGCTACAAAAGGTCGACAAGGAGATTTTCAGCACATGGCCCGCTCTTCAGGACCAGCCGACCGGAGACAAGAAACTGAAGCCGCTGGTCGAAAATGGAGGCGTCTCAACCAAGGAGGCGGTCAACCCCTTCACGCGACTGACGCCATACGCTCTCTACCGCTTCGTGGCACCTCCTTCGAAGAAGTTTCTCGAGCACCGCGACATCGCATTTGCTGGGGTCCTGATGCACATCACTGCCGCCATCATCGCCAACACGCAAGCGCTCTGGATCGATGCCTTCTTTCACGACAAGCTCCCTGCCGTGCGCGAGGCCACCTCGGACTCCAAGGCGATGGAGAAACTGCAGTATGAGACTGCGCTACACAACCGCTTCTGCAAGTGGAGATATCCCGCTGGCCACGGCGACATGTTCCCAGACTTCGTCTTCGATGCGATACCTTATGTCGACAGACTCGTTACGGACTTGGAGCTGAATAAGTACAGAAAGAACGGCATGATAGCCGAAGCTTCAGAACCATATGGCCCGGAGGACTATAAGACTCTGGCTGCGGAGTGGGCGGAGAAGTCAGCTGCTTAAACTGAGAAAATAGAACGGAGCTCTAGAGAAGGCTCGAACATACCTGGAGACCTCGTAGTAAGGGGTATGTTCAGGAAGTTTCGAGCCCACCCACCCAGTAGGGTGTTTCTCAGTAGGGGAAAAGTAATAAGGGGTATAAATGCTCGCTCGCCCTGAGATCAATAATGCCATTTTGATACTGTAATCGCTATTCTATGATGTCTCAACTCGTGTCCAAGGGGATGGCCTAGTATGTGTTACCCAACTGCGTGTGTGCCCAGTCGTTCTCAAACCTCTGCCATCCACCATATTCCGGTTCGCTTCCCATATACAGCTGGTGAACGACCATATCATAGTATCCATCTCTGGGTGTCTTTCCACCGCACACATTGCCACCCATCGCAACATTCAACAAGATGGTCATGTCCCTCATAGGTCGCGTTCCTGGAGGGATATCCCCCTTCATCACCGGTCTTCCATCAATGTACCAAATCATCCTGCCCTGCCCGGGGTGCCCTCCAGGCTGCAGCCAAGCCAAATCGTACCTCACGGGTCGGTACTGCATGTCCGGGATCTTAGTTCCAAGAACACGGTGCTTATCCGGCTCATGGTGCTGTCCCCAATGAAGGCACGAGTGGTTCTCGCAGTCGCCGTTCCAGGTCTCTGCGATGTCAACCTCGCCATC